GCCTTCTCCTCCCATGTCATGGGATTGGTCCGCGCGAGCTGCTCCATGTAGGCTTGGCCGATGCGCGCCCTGGTCCTGGCCGTGCGCGACGTCGCCCTGGCCCAGTCGTAGCAGCCCATCTTCGCCGGCGGTATCTCGTGCATCGCTGCCGCCTCGCCTGCTAGGGTGTCCGCCCTCCGGTTGCCTCTCCGCGCTTCTAGCGGCACTCCTCGATTCTGTGCCTGCTCGATCGTCGCGTGGCACTCTACGTGGCGCACTCGCGCCTCGGCATCTCCAAGCGACCCCAGTCGCTGCCTGATCCTCTTCCAGAGGTCTCCGTGCGATTTCTTGTAGCCCGAGGATAGATGCTTCCTGCTGTGCCAGCCCGTGCAGAGTATCTCCGAATCCGAATTAAAGACCGGGTCGCCCTCCGTCGACTGCAGGCAGTCTAAGAACGCCGTGATCTCCGCCCTGTTGTTGGACTGGCGTGCTCCTGGTAGCGGTCATGTATTGTTGCCGCCTCCTGCCAGATCCCCCCGCTGTTCTGCGTGATGGCCCAGCTCCAGCCGTGTCTCCTGCACCGCGCGTCGCCTCCGTATTCTCCTCCGCTTCCATCTCCACATGGTATCGTGCCCTCCGTCAAATGCAGCTTGTCGCCGTGCTCCTCGTTGGCGATGCTGGCTGCTGAACCAGTCCGCCTTGGCTGTTACTCGGTCTCGCACGCCGGTGGCGTAGTCCAAGCTCGCGGCGCGATCCCTCTCAGCCAGAACGCCGCCCACTCGTGCTGTCCTTGTCGCGCGCTCGGCGGGCGCACTTGGTCATCCGTTTTCCTGTTGGTGCTGCGGTCGCTCCTGCAGCTGCATTCGCCCCAGATGATGTGGATGTCGTCCGCGATCTCGCCGCGCTCGCATAGGTTGCAGGCGCCGTCTCCACATGTTCCTCGCCTCCGTTGTGGCGACCGCGTTCCTGCGCGTGCTGCTGCGAGGATCGCCCCGAACATCTGGTGCTTCCCGTGCTTCCTCAGGCGTTCAGCTGCATCTTCAAATAGTAGGTGTCGGGCCCATGTGGCAGGGCTGCTCCGCTGTGGCGCAGGCTGGCTTGCTCCCAGCCCTTCCTCTTCAGGTCGACGGTGATCGCGTTCAGCAGCTCCGCGGGGTCGTCATTGCCTTCATCTGGTTGCAGCTGCCATCCTCCTCCGTCGGCGCCCTCCCAGAAGTCGGCTGTCTCCGCGTCCCAGCTGATCTCCCAGAGCTGCAGGATGAACGATCCTATGATACCTCTGCGCTGCTGCCGCATTGTGGTCTTCGGTGGTGCTAGGAATCGTTCTCGGATCCTTGGCCGCGCTCGACGCGCCGCCGCTCGTAGATCTGGGCGGCTTGCCCACAAATCGAACCGCGCCTGGATCAGTTCCCCGGGGGTGGTGTTGCCTGGGTCGGCGCCTTCTAGGTCTAGCAGCGCGGCGGAACACCTTCCTGGTCAGGCCTCTCTCAGTCCTTTCGCGCACCTCCTCCTGATGGCCGTGAGCTCGGCAGGGCTCGCTCCGCACGCCTTCGTGCCGTAGCCGACCTGATCCATAGGTCCCTGCTCGATGACCTGTCTCCTCGTCTTGGCTTTCCTGAGCTTCTTCGCGATCGCTGCGAACCTTTTGAAGCCCTCCTTCGTTCTTGCGCTGCGCGTGGCCCTCCTCGAGCATGTCTCCCCTGCTCTGTCGAGTCCGAGGTGTCTCCTCTCTCTGGCGGCCTTGATTGTGATTCCCATCTCCTCAAGTCTTTGGGTGGCCCTCTTGGCCATGTCGAAGTTCGTGCTGAATGGGGTCGGCTTGCCCGCCATGGCCAGCGCCTCGCCGTCCAGCTCCTCCGCCAGCTCGTAGGTTGCCTCCGCGATGCAGTCCTCGACCTCGGTAAAGCTGCCCACCGCTCTCAAGCCGACGTCGTCGAACCACGTCCTGGGCTTCACCATCCGCACTTTGCTGCTCATGGCCTTCACCACGTGGTAGATGAAGGTCCGTGCTAGGTTGTTGCTGCGCCTAGAGCCCGCGAGCAAGCTGCGCCTGGCGTAGACCGGCAGGCTGCATACGACGCCTTCCTTCAGCATCCTCGGCGCGACGTGGGGCAGCATGGCTATGGCCAACACTCTCGGCGGGGAGCCTTTTCTCCAGCGCTCGCCTCGCCACCTTCTCGAACACCAAGGAGTCGTGGAACCTCTTCGCGCCGACCATGGCGTTCGCCGAGTGGGCCCCATGCCCCTGCGAGGTCTCGGCGCCCAGCGCTCTGGCCATCTCCTCCCTTAGGCAAGAATTCCCTGCCACCGCCGCGTCGAAGTCCTCTTCTACCTCCTTGGCCCATTTCCCGATCTGGTTCCTGTTGAGCAGCTCCCATGTCCTGGCGAACCAGGTGAGCAGCGCGAGGACTCTGTCCCCGCCGCCCGTGAGTGCCGTCTCGTCGATCCTCTCCGCGTCCTTCGGTTGCAACATGCCCATCGCCTGCAATTTCTGCCATGGCCACGCCACCTCCTCCTCGCAGCTATTGTATATGTCGATGTAGGCCTTCCTGTCGTTCTCAAGTAGCCCCCTACGTCGTCCATGTTCATCATGTCCGTGCCCTTGTCTTTGTTGGGGACGCCCTTGATCGCCTTGTTAAACTCCTCTAGTGTCCAACTTGGCGTGGGCTACTCCTGCGCCCTCTCGCGCAGCATGCTGATCACCTCCACCGCATCCTCGTGCTTGCTGGTGTGCTCCCACAGTTCCTCGATGTCCTCCGCCTTCAAGTCGGCGCTGTCCTTCGGTTTCGTGGCCTTCCGCCCTGCATTGATGCATTCGCCCTCGTGTCTCTTCTTGGGCTTCGTGATCTTGTGTGGGGCTCCTGGTGCGCTGGCCTCCGTGTTGGCCACCCAGCGCGCGTGGTCCTTTGCGCCTATTCTCAGGTCCTCCTTCAACGCTATCTTCGCCTCTATATTAGCCTGCTTGTCCATGCCCTAGACTATTTGACCTCCTCAACCTTGTGTATATCATTGGTTCTTTGGCTCCAGCTCTTCTTGTGCAGCCTTGCTGTTCGTGTCTTGATCTGCCCGCTGACGGTACCCCTTCCAAAGCGAGCCTCCTGCAACACTCCTCAAGCTGTCGGAGCTGGTTGCCTCCACGCCTCCTGACCTCCAGCTTCGCGTGTCCAGTGCAGCCGCTGTCCTGCTCCACCAAATGTGTTTCTTGTTGGTGTAGGTTGCCCGCCTTGCACCTGACTCTCGGCCCCTTCTCTTGGAACTCGTACGCTTCGCCTCTGCCTTTGTACCTCTTCTGGTCCTCCTCGCTGATCTCGGAAGCCTCGCAATAGAAACGCTCCGTCGTGGACACTAACTGGTGGTATTGTAGGAGCGGGGGACGGAAGAAGGTGGAGTAAGGGAGGAGAGGTAAGGGGAGTAGGGGGGGGGGTGAGAGGGGGAGCGGGGGGGGGGGGCAAAGGACGAAGACAGGCGCGGGGAGGCAAGGGTGCTGGTGAAGGCGGGAGGTGGGGGAGCTGAGGAGGGAGAGGGAGGCTGCAGAGAGGATGAGGAATTCGTGGGAACACGCTGATCACTTATGACCACGCTGATGTGGCAGGAGGAGGAGGAACAGGAGGAGGAGGAGGAACTACGGGGAGATACGGGGGGGCGGGAGGACGAGGAGGAGAGCAAAAAGGAGGAGAGCGAGGAGGGAGAGGAACGAGCAGCAGGGCCGCATAAGGCGGCCGAGACTCGCTGACCCTGCGCTCTCGGCTGCGGCCGACCTGGCGGCCGACCGGCTGGCGGACCGGCACTGGGCGCGCGGCCGCGATCGGCGCGGAAAGAGACTGCCCAGACCGGTGGGCAGAGTGAAAATCCGTGACGCAGTCGGGGGGGCGTATGGTGCAGAGGTGGCCCCAAGGAGGAAGAAATGCTGGGTTCCGCCCCCCCCGCACCTCGGGACAGCTCCAGAGGAGGAGGAGGAGGAGGAGGAGGAGGAGGAGGAGGAGGAGGAGGAGGAGGAGGAGAGGGAGGAGGAGGAGGGGGGAGGCAAGCTAGGTGCGCTCGCGTCATACCTGACATCCTACCCCTCCCTCCCATCCCTTACCATGGCGTAGATCCCCTCTTTACTCGCACAGTCGGATGTCGAGCAAGGCAATGATCCCGAAGGGGTACGCGGTGCATTGTAGAGCACGGCGTGGCATGGCGTAGAAGAGCACCGCAAAGCGTATTATGTCACAGCATGGCGTGGCGTGGCGTAGTGACGAATTGCATCAAAAAGCTTAGCAACGCAAAGCATGGCATCGCACAGCGGCCCCGTATATGACATTGCATAGCATGGCGTTGAAGATCAAAGCGTAGCATGGCATAGCACGACGTGGCTCTGAAGCACTGCATATCACAGCTTCAGCTGAAGGCATGGCATCGCGCAGCGGAACGCAACCTAGCATTGCATTGCACGCCGTGGCATGGCACGGGAAATGACGCCGGCGCTGCAGCGGGAGCACGATTCGGAACGAGCGGAAGCGCGGAAATGAGGCCAGCGCTGCAGCGGGAGCACGATTCGGAACGAGCGGAAGCACGGAAATCAGGCCAGCGCTGCAGCGGGAGCACGATCCGGAACGAGCGGGGCCCGAACATGAGGCCGGCGCCTCAGCGAGAGCAGCAGTTTGAGAAAAAACATGCAGGCGAAAACCCAACTCCGGGGAATCCTGTGTAAAAAAACAGTACGCGGGGGGGGGCGAACACTCCCAACCCGTCATCAGGGGAAGGAGGAGAGTAGTATTCACATTGAGTAATTGTAGAGCGAGGAGGAGGAGGCGGAGGAGGAGAGGGAGGAGGAGGAGGAGTGAGGAGGAGGAGGGAGGATAGGAGATAGAGGAGAGAGGGAGGTAGAGGAGGTAGAGGAGGCAGAGGAGGAGGAGGAGGAGGAGGAAGGAGGAGAGGAGGAGGAGGAGGAGGAGGAGGGGAGAGGAGGAGGAGGAGAGAGGTAGAGGAGGCAGAGGAGGAGGTAGAGGAGGCAGAGGAGGCAGAGGAGGAGGAGAAGGAGGAGGAGGAGGAGGAGGAGGAGGAGGAGGACGGCGGGAACATGAGCTCTCGGAAGGCCGCGCAGGTCTCCTCTCGGAGCGGCGCCGCCTCCGACGCCGCCCTCCTGGCGCGCTCCGCGCGTCCGGCAGGGGGCCCAGCGAAGAATCAAGAGCTCCAGGGCGGAACCCGCGTACGGTAGGTTCGTGACCGTGTCGACCCCGGCGTTGGTCCCTGATACCGCGGGGATCGTTCAACCTTGAACGATCGGCCGTTTCCAAAACGTCCGATCGTTCAACATCGACTGATTCTGGGTCGCCAGCGGCGTTCAACGTTGAACGCCGGCGGCGGGGTCGCCGCCGGTCGACACGACACGAACCTGCCGTATATACCGATGTCGCCACTCCTCGGACCTCTCCTGGGGTGCGTGCCGACCAGCATCTCGAGGCGGAGGCGGCAGCGAGGGCCTCCCAGGAGGCCCCCCAAAAGGTGACAACGGCGGAGACGAGCAGCACCAGCGGCACGTCTTCCTCCTCCGCTTCCGAAGACGGCCCAAGACAATTACACCCTGCGAAATGCTTAAGAAATCATGGGTTAAGAAATTCATGGTCTCAGAAATTGAATAAAACCCAGAACTTCTATCAACAAATCTTGGGATTTACATTGAAAAGTTAAGAATAATCGAGACTTTGGACAACAACTTAGGTTTTCTTAAACATCGCCTAAGGTGTATTGCTCTGTGCAGCGTTTTCCTCCTCGGTGGCTATCTGGCCAGACGGCCCATGGGGCCACGCGCGGCGTCTCTGCAGCAGAGGCCTCCCGGATGGGGTCGGAGGAGATCTCGCCGCATCGACGATAACATCGGCGACGCACCGCCGAAGCACCGGCGATACATCGGCCATGCACTGGCGACGTGGGCGATGCATCGGCGACGTCGGCGTGGAGGAACTTGGGCCACACATGGAGCCTCATCGCTGATGCATCGCCAGTGCATCGGCGATGCACCGGCGATGCCGCACGATCCTCCGGCCCCATCTACACCGACCCCATCTGGGAGGCCTCGATTAGAAGAGAAAGAAAAACCAGCGTAATCATAAACGTTTGGCGCTCCGCGCGGATTTCTTGGATCTGCGCTGGACCCCCTCCCTGGCGCGCGGAGCGCGCCAGGGGCGGAGCCGGAGGCGCCGCCGGGGGGGTCCAGCGCGGATCCAAGAAATCCGCGCGGAGCGCCACAAGTTTGTCCCAGGAACACACGAAGAAATACACAAATCCCAGGACCCCCCATATCTTCTGAGCTTTCGTCTTCCCCCCCCCCCTTCCCACATTTTCCAATATTCTCCAGGGGATTGACGACTCATTGTGTCCGTGCGTTTTCTCCCCTCCTGATCTACGTTGATGCCCATCTCTCGTCTTCGATTGGTGCAACCGCTCCTGGGACCCCCCGCCAGGGCGGGGAGAACTGCTCTGCGCCGGGCCGCCCCCCGGGGGGATCCCTCCCCCCCCCCGCATCGGGGCCGCCGCGGGGCGAGGGCGCCCCCGCGTCGGCGCCGCCGCCGCTGCCGCCCCAGACATCTGGTCTCGCGACTTGCCCGCAACGCAGCCCCCTCTGAGGACTGGCAACTCATGGGAGTCCCCCGGGCCGTCTTGCCGGCTCTTGCGAGATCGACGCTGCTCGACGCCAGATCGACGCCAAATCGATGCTGCATCGACGCTCCTCGGTGCCAACTGACGCTGAGTCGGCGCTGTCTGAAACCGACTCCAGGCGCCCATCGACGCTAATCGACGCTAGAGACGGAGCTAGAAGGGTACACCCTGCGAAATGCTTAAGAAACCATGGGTTAAGAAATTCAGAGTCTCAGAACTGGAATAAAAACCCAGAACTTCTATCAAAATCTTGGGATTTACATTGGCAAGTTAAGAATAATCAAGACTCTGGCCGAAAACTTAGGTTTTCTTAAGCATCGCCTAAGGTGTATACCAGGCTCCCCTGATTTGCCGCAGAAGTCCCCCTGAGGACTGGAACCCTTCCCAGGGACCAGCTCGTCATCCCGAGCTGCCCTCGGGCGGCCCCAGGGCCGGGGGCGGGCCCCAGAAGGCCGAGGGCGGACGACAATGAAGGGGCCCAAGGACACACAAATAAATACACACAAATACAATTATTCCCCATATTTTCCCATATTTTCTGGGTTTTTGTCTTCCCCCCCACTTCCCATATTTTCCAATATTTTCCTGGGAATCGACGATTCATTGTGTCTGTGTGTTTTTTCCCCTCCTGAGACAAGAGAGACGAGGCTCGAGCCAAACGCTGCTCTCCGTTGTCGTGCCGTTTCCGTTGTCCCTCCTTCTGTCTTCCTTTCCCATGCGAAGAACCCAACCATAATCATGCAGTTTGTGAATTGAGACTCATGCGAACGTCGCCTCTGGGGCCTGCATCACTGGAGGCTCCCTTTGCGTCCATGCAACACTGTACTGGATTGGGGAACCGCATGCGAACGTCGCGGTGGATCTCCCTGTGGGGCCACGGAACGCTGTACTCGGCGGGGGAACCGCATCCTCCGAACGTTGCCCCGTGGGCCTTCGGTGAAACTCCCTATGGAGCCACGAAGCGCTGTACTGGGAGGGGGGGAAACGCATGCGAACGTCGCCTCTGAGACCCCTGGTGGAGCTTCCCAAGCATGCGAACGCTCCCTCTGGGGCCTTCGGTGGAGCTCCCCATGGGACCACGGAGCGCTGTACTGGCTTGGGGTGCCAAAAGTGAACGCTCGCTCGGGGGCCTCCGGTGGGCGCTGTACTGGCTTGGGGGGGCCACATGCGAACGCTCCCTCCGGGGCCTCCGGTGGAGCTCCCCATGGGGCCAGGGGGCGCTGTGCCGGCTTGAGGGAACCGCATGCGGACGTCGTCGCGAGGTGTGTGCCGAACTGCCCGACATGCGAGGGCAGGGGCCGGGATGGGAGGAGGGAGGTGGGGCAGCGGGACGAGGAGACGGCAAGGACGCGGGGCGCTGTCTCTCCTCAAAACGATGACCCAACACCACAGGATGGTTGGAGATCAGAACAGACAACAGCATACGAAACACAGTCGGCCCGTATCCCAAGGATGCGCGGCAAGGATGCAAAGGCCTTGGATGCCCATGTCGAAGCTTCTCCAGCGGGGCGCGGCCGACGAAAGTGGCCAAGGGTGGGCCGAAGGGGCAAGGATGCAGGGGCACCCTTGGGAACGTTGCCAACCCTCACTATGCAGGTTGACTGCAGCTCGAGCCCTGCAAGAGACTTCCATCGTGATTGTGCCACGGCGCGGGCACGTCTGGGACGCGGGGCCGTCGCCATGCGGCGGCGAGGCAGCGGCCGCGGCCGCCCCGCGGCGGAGCTGCACGCGCGGATCCGAGGCCGCGCTCTTAGCCCGCGCTGCCGCGTGCGGGCGCGCGTGCCGCCGCCGCCGCGTGCCACTGGGGGCTCGCCGCTGCGCCGTGCATGCACGAGGCGAGGTCCCAGGGGCTCAGCGGGTTGCCAACAACCCCAGGGAGGTCCTCCTGCGGGGGGGGTGGGGGGGCGGTGGGGCGGAGGAGGATCGCTGTGGGCCGCGGAAGGGGGATAAGGGAACGGACGACGGCGAAGATCAAGGGTCAAGGCGCTTCGGGGCATGTGCCGAGAAATAGGAGGGAGAACATGAGGAGGGAACGTTCAAAAACTCGTGGAGGAGGGGTGGAGGAGGAGGAGGAGGAGGAGGAGGAGGAGGAGGAGGAGGAGGGGAGGAGGAGAGGAGGGACAGGGACAGGAGGAGGAGCAGCCCCGTAACCATGTTGGTTCAAGTCCGTAGCACCTGCTCAAGGCACGAGAATGCTTGGCGAGGGGGTTCTCGCGGCCCGCAACTGCGAGGCTCTGCTCGGCACCGGTGAGTGTGCTGGTGCCCTCGAGCAGCGTGCCCTGGCAGCTGGGGGCCCACAGGCGGTTAGCAAGCACGCTCCGATCCCCCTCGACGGTGCCAAGAGGCAGGTCGCGCAGTCCGAGCAGCAGGTCGCCAAGCTGAAGACGGCTATGCATGCGCAGGTGCTCGAGCTGGTCACGCTGAAGGCCAAGCTCTCCAGCTGGCAAGAGCAGGAGAAGGTCGCGCTGGCCAGCGCCGCGGCGGCTTGGGCAGCCTTCGGTGCAGCCCCAGGTTAAGCGCGAGCGCGTGCTCCGCGGGGCGTTGCTGGCGCCGTTGGAGCCACTCCTGACGGCCCAGGCCTTGCTTTGCTCATGCAGCTCGAGCCCTTGGACCCTTCCCTCGCGTCAGCACTGCGTTCGCTCATGGCTACTCGGGATGGCGTGCTTCAGCCAGCAACTGGGCGCCGACGGCGAGGATGGCGCGCGTGAGTTCCCCGAGCCGCAGACTCTGCAACGGACCAGCCTCTCGGTGGAGACCGCCGGCCGCGCTGTCTTTCGCAGTGGCCCCGCTGCGCCCGCTCTTCCCTGCCTGCTCGATCGCGATTCTAGCGGGGGCGCGGGGGCGCGGGGGGGGGGGGGGGGCGCGTCGGGGGGGGGGGGGGGCGCGTCTGGCGCGGAGGGCGGCCCGGCGGCTGCCCGTGTCCTCTCTTCTCTCCTCCGGCGCCACGCCGCTGATGCGGGCTGGAGCGCGTTCCTTTCCACGCGGGGCCTCGCGCGCAAGCGGCGCGAAAATGTCGCCGGCGGAATCGACGTGCCCGAAGCTGGCTGCCAGGCATGCTCGAAGGAACAATCTGCTGTTTAGCAGGTGCAAGCAGTGAACTTTCAGCGCCGCCAGCGCCGGCGGGCGTGCGGGCTTCGATGCGCGCCTTTCCGATGCGATTCGGTCTGACACTCTCTCAATGCTGGAGACGCGGGCTCCTTCCCTTGTGCGTGAGTCTCTTGACGCGCAAGAATGCGCGCTTCGGGCCGGCCACGCCCTATGCGCGCGGCTTCCCTGGTTTGAAGGCCACCCTTTCAGGAGGATTGGTCGCGGCAGCTGTCGGGCGACTCGGGCTCGGTATTCTGATGCACTTCGGCAAAGAGATTGCTCTCGCCCGCGCTACTACTACTACTACTACTACTACTACTACTACTACTACTACTACTACTACTACTACTACTACTACTACTACTACTACTACTACTACTACTACTACTGCTACTACTACTACTACTACGACGACGACGACGACGACGACGACGACGACGACGACGACGACGACGACGACGACGACGACGACGACTGCGTCCCGAAAACCTCGAACCTCCGTCCTGCAACGCCCCCGCCGTGCGCGGGACCCCTGGTGCTCACCCCGCCCTTCGCCGCCCCCGGCGCGGCGCCCGTGGAGGTCTCGACCCCCCCTCTCACCAGGACGGGTGATTCCTTCGTCCCGAGTCGGTCCCCTGACGGTCCCGAGGGGCCCGGTGAGGGCCCCGCTCTGCCGACTTCGGCCAAGCGAGCCGTCCGTCGTGACTGCTCTGCGACGCGACGGGGTCTGGGCTCGGAGACCGGTGGCCGATCCGCGCGGACCCGTCCCAGGGTGCGTCCTGGCCAGAACTTCTCGTGAGAGTCCGGCCGTGGCGACGAGATGCAACCCGACGCCCCCGAAACTTGCCAAACACGTCTTGAAGAGTCGATCCAATCTCGGGGTGGACGGGATGGGGGCGCAGAAGGTAGGTGGCGACATCCGACCCCTACCCTCGCCGACCCTCGGTTCTCCTGCATTGATGGGAGGCGGGGCTGGGGCTTGGATTTCGCCACGTTCTCGACGAGTTCGAAGCCCTCCCCCCGCCGCCCATCGAGTTGCCTGAATCGTTGATCGGCGAGGGCAGGATTCGGATTTCGCCGCCGAAGAGGGAGGATTAGAGAACCAGCTGCATGCAGAAAATTTCCCTGGCGCTCCAAGCGCTAAAAGCACCAATGCATCGAGGAAGCCGCCTGGAGGCGGGGCTGCAACAGGCTGCATGCAGCAAACTTCGCACCCATCGTTCGGAAAAAATAGAAACATGAAGTAGGAAGGCGTTTGAAATGGAGTGGGTTTCCGCCCGCCGCTGGAACAAGGAGGAACAAAAAACCGTCCGATCATTGGAACGCATCCAGAATAAACTGGAATGCGGAAACCCTACAATGCGTATCTTCAGCGAACGAGAGGATACCCCTCACCCTTTCCCTATCGGAAAACGAAGCGTAGGCCAAGAGAAAATCGGACTGGGACAAATCGGAATCTCCGAGATCCGGCTCTTCTGGGCGATGCATCGGGCGCCGCGTTCCAGAGCGCTTCGGAACGCGGACAACGTTCGGGAACACTGCGGAGTGACTTGTCCCGTTCTTGGGCCTGCCTGGGAGGCGCCAGGGCCAGGGAGGGGGGAGTCCTGGAACCCTCCATGCTCACCAGGCGCTCGTTGCACGCAGAAGCACGTCAACTACGGCAGAGTATCCTCGGTGTGAGTCGGCCATGCGGACTCCAATCCTGACCTCCGCTCTGAGAGCGCACCGCAAGGCCCTGGAGCGATTCAACCCCCGTCCTGGGCCCGCCAGGGATCCCCCGCTCGAGGGAAAACGCCAGGAGGGGACCGGCTCAGGGGGGGACACGTCGCCAGGGAAACGTCGAGGCACCGTCGACAGGGTGGCGATAAGCCTCCAGTGGCGAAACCGAGTGGTCCTGGGCGGGCCCCAATCAGCGAGAAGCAGGATGGAGGTCGACAGGTCGGCAGGATGGAGGTCGACAGGGGGCGACAGGGGCCGAAATCGGCCAAAAACCCGACGGCGGGTTGCGCTATCAATCTCAAGGCACAGCGAGGGCGATGGGGAAACATTGAAAGTAACTCTAAGCTACATGGCCGATTCTGGACACCCTGAACCAAAACATGCTGCCATCTCATACAGTATGGGCCAGGGGCCCGACCACAAGAAACCCTCAAAAAAACCAGACTTTCAAACCCCAGGACGGCCATTGTTTTTTTGGGGTGTGGGAACGTCGCGCTTTCCATCGCAAAACCGTCGATACCCAAGAAACCCAGGGCACCCTGGAGGCACGCAGGGTGTTTCTTGGCATGGACTTCCACTGTATGGCCGATTGGATCTGCCATCTCGTGGGGGCGCATTTTTCACTTCCGCTGGCGTCGGCCGGCCTTCCGCCAGCAGAGCCGCCCCCGTTCTATTTCCGCCACTTCCCACCGACCCTCCGCCGAGGAGAGGCTGCCCACTCCCTCGATGCCGCGAAGGCGAGGCCCCTTCTCTGGAACGCCCCAGATGCTCACCGGGGCTAGGTTGCTCCCATCGCACCTCACCCCATAAATTCGCCGGCCCAACGGGCCAGAGGCGTGCTAAGATCTCCGGTAACTGCTAAATAATACTGCTAGTTCGCGCGCGCGGGGCGGCCCCTGGGGGTCCCCCGGCGAAAAGTAACTACCCCGGGCGATCCCCGGCAGGGTCGGATCAGAGATGGTTTTGAGGGCCTTTTTTCGACACCCCTCACGAGGATCGTGGCCTCCGAGGGGGGTGCACTCGACTACCCCGCCCCAAGAGGCCCCCAAGAGCCACCCAAGAGGCCCAAGGGGGGCCCAAGACGCCGCCAAGGAGCCCCAAGAGACCCCCAAGAGGCCCCCAAGAGGCCCCTAGGAGGCCCCAAAGAGGCCCCCAAGAGGCTTCAAAGAGGCCCCATAGAGCGCTCGAGAGCCGGCGGAATGAGCGAAGCGATTCAATAATTTCGAGCACCCCGAAAAGTATCGAAACAGTGACGACCGAGCATCGCCTCCCAGGGCCCGACACGTGAAAACCCTCCTCAATTCCGGCATTGCCTTGGTGCTCGACATGATTTCTAGTGATCGTGACTAAACTGGGGCGAACTCTTCGTCCCTCTGAGCAGGGACCGACGGTCCCGGCATTTCTATAGGCCTACCACGAAATGTTCATAGAACCCGAACACGTTCTAATAGCAGAAACAACGTGTTCTTAGAGCATAAACCCGACGTGTGAAAACAAGACGGCCCCAGCCAGAAACGTTCTGAGAACACTTCGTGGAAGCCACAATAAAGGTTCTTAGAACATTGTCTGGTAAGCCTAGCAGGCACGCCACGACGCTTCGCCACTGCTTGAAACATGGGCTGGTGACTCCCGAGGAGACCGGGCCACTCCCCCCGACGCCTCCCTGCTCGAGCCCGACCTGCGTGCCGCGGGCTCGTGCCGCGCCGACCTCGGCGCTGGCTTCGGACACCGCGGGGCCCGCTCCGCCTCGAACGCTCGGCCGCTCCCGAAACGCCAGGCTCGGCGGGGGGACGAGAAGGGGGGACAGCAAAGGGCAGGGTAGAGGACGCCGAACAGGCCAAGTGGGCACGCCAGGACGCTTCGCCGCTGCTTGCATAAAAACCGGGGGGAGGAGGATAGGAGGAGGAGGAGGATAGGAGGAGGAGGAGGAGGAGGAGGAGGAGGAGGAGGAGGAGGAGAGGAGGAGGAGGAGGAGGGGAGGGAGGAGGAGGGAGGAGGAGGAGGAGGAGGGGGAGCCCGCCGCCCCTGCCGCGCGGCCCCGCCGCGGCGGCCCTCTCCCGGGCCTCCGCCGCCCGGGCCCCGCGCGGCGCCCCGCGCCCGCTCCTGGGCCGCGGAGTCGTCGAGGGCCCACGACTCCGCCTCAACCCGCGCGTGCCGCGGCGTGCCGCGGCGTCGGCGGCGGCCCGTGCCAATCCCAATCCGCTCCTAAGACACGCTGCTCTACGCGTGCGCTGCTCTGCTCGTCGTCGTCGTCGATTTCGTCGATTTCGTCGCCCTCGTCGTCTTCGTCGTTGTCGTTGTCACCGTCGTCGTCCGTCGTCCGTGTTCCGTCGCCCTCGTCCTCGTCGAAGTTCGAGAACCGAAGTGGTGAATTGTTGGGGCGCCTTTGGCAAGTTTTGCGGCCGTGCACGGCCAGCCGCCATCCTTCACCTCCTCCTCGTCCGCCTGCTCGTCCTCCTCGCAGTCGTCTCCGTATTCGGGCGAGGTTCGAAAACACCATTGTTTCGGCGTTTTGGGCGCATGTTGCGGGCCCAACGAGGAAACCCGCGGGTTTGGGGGCCTCCAGCCAGGGGAATTACCACTGCAGTCCGCTACGAACTTCCTCCTCCACAATATGAATACTACTCTCCTCCTTCCCCTGATGACGGGTTGGGAGTGTTCGCCCCCCCCCCCCCGCCCCCCCCCCGCGTATTGTTTTTTACACACAGGATTCCCCGGGTTGGGTTTTCGCTTGCATTTTTTCCAAAATGCTGCTCTCGCTGAGGCGCCGGCCTCATTTTCGGGCCCCGCTCGTTCCGAATCGTGCTCCTGCTGCAGCGCTGGCCTCATTTCCGCGCTTCCGCTCGTTCCGAATCGTGCTCCCGCTGCAGCGCTGGCGTCATTTCCGGTGCCATGCCACGGCAGGCAATGCAATGCTAGGTTGCGTTCCGCTGCGCGATGCCATGCCTTCAGCTGAAGCTGTGATATGCAGTGCTTAAGTGCCACGTCGTGCTATGCCCTGCTACGCTTTGATCTTCAACGCCATGCTATGCAATGTTATGTTCGGGGCCGCTGTGCGATGCCATGCTTTGCGTTGCAAAGCTTTGTGATGCAATTCTTCACTACGCCACGCCACGCCATGCTGTGACATACTACGCTTTGCGGTGCTCTTCTACGCCATGCCATGCCGTGCTCTACAATGCATCGCGTACCCTTTCGGGATCATTGCCCTGCTCGACATCCGACTGTGCGAGTAGAGAGGGGATCTACGCCATGGTAAGGGATGGGAGGGAGGGGTAGGATGTCAGATATGACGCGAGCGCACCTACCTTGTCTTCCTTCCCCTCTGTGTGTATCGGCGGTGGACAAATCTCCCTTTAGTAGACCTCCTCTTAATGAAAGCGGCCTGGGACCGAAACCGACGGACCAAGACCCGCAAAAATGACGACCGCGACGCCCTCTCGCGAACCGAAAACGGCCAATTTCTGAATCGACGTGTCAGGGTAGGAGGTCGGTCCACCCCCGAGGGACAGAACAAATTTCCTGCCGACAGAAACAGGGGGGCGATGCAAAACTAAAGACATCCTGTGCTGTGTTCGGTCGCAACAATCATGTTGATTCGCGGCGCTGACGTCCTTTTAACGGTTGGCCATATTGAGGGTTCTCAGACGGTTGTCCTCCAATGTAATGCAAATTACATGTAGGGGCTTATGAAGAGGGAACTTGGAGGGAGGCTTTGTTGCAACATCGTTGGTGCGTCTTCGGTTTTACACTGGTCCTCCTCCTCCTCTCATTCTCCTCCCTCTGGCATCCACCTCCCTCCATTTACCACCCCCCTCGACTCTCCCGCCTTTCTCGCGCCTGCCCCCTCCCCGCTCCCCTCGGCCTCTCTCTCGCTTCCCCCTCCCTGGCCTCCTCCATCCTCCCCCCCCCTTCCTTTCCCCCCCCCCCCCCCGGGGGCCCCTGCTCGCGGACGTCTGCTCCCCGATCTCGGGACCCCGCGAGGGGGAAGTCTTGGAGGCCTGGAAATTGGCACCAGCACCAACACAGGGTTTTGCCTCCACAGGGGAAGATGATCCTAGATTTTCGGTGTTGGTGGTTATATTTCGGCCACCTTGGAAGCCAGAATATTACCACCATCACCGAGATCGGGATCTTCTTCCCTCGGTGGAGGCACACCGCCAAAATTGGTGTTGGTGTCAACCTCTCGGCACGCGCTGCGCCCCTCCCCGGGGCCGTCTGCCTCTCGCGCCCTGCCGCCCGCTCGCGCACGGGGGGGGGGGGTCGGGCTCGCTCGGCGCGCGGGGGGGCCGCCAGCAGGCTGCGCGTGCCCTCGCGCGTGGACGGCGAGGCGCCGAAGTCCCGCTCCGCCGGCGCCGCCAGCGGCACCGGGGGGACGTCCGGGAAGGCCGCTCGCATCCTCGCGGGGGGGGGGAGGTCTCCGGACGCCCAGAATTACCAGCCTGGAACATATCCCTATCCCTATGTTGGGCATCTCCTCATCACGATGCCAATCTTAGGGATTCCCTTATTTTTTGAGGGCGCATCCCTAAGATTGTCATCGCTTTTTGGCGTGCCAATCTTAGGGATAGGGAGACGTCCGAGGCTGGTAACAGAAGGGGTGCGGGAAACATGGGCCGCCTGCCCAACAGCGGCCGCTGTCGGGACGGGGGGGAGTCCGAGAAAGCCGCTCGCATCCTCTTGGGGGGGAGGTCTCCAGACGCCCAGACGGGGTACTGAGCATCGTTCGGCCTGGGCCCCACTGGCCGATTTCCCCCCCTAGATGGGTATATAGGCCGTGTCCTTCGGGCTTCGAGGGGTGTATCCCAAACTTGGGCGGCAATGTGGTGGGGGGCTCGAAGGGGATGGGGATCGGGATGGGGATTGGTTAAACGATACCGAGGTACGGAAAACATGGGCACAAAGACCGACAGGAGCACGTGCTCATTTTGAGCAGGACTCGCTGTTGGCGTCGCCGCGGGCGCTGTCCATCCGCCTGCCCAACGGCGGCAGCTGTCGGGACGGGGGGACGGGGGGACGTCCGGGAAAGCCACTCGCATCCTCTCGGGGGGGAGGTCTCCGGACGCCCAGAATCGGGGATGGACAGAACCCCCTCTAGTAAAACGTGGTTTAGCGAAAACGGCCTCGAGCCCAAACCTGGTGGGCGCAAGCCGGGAAAAATTATGGCCGCGGCGCCCTCTAGAGTACCGAAAACGGACAATTCCCTGATCGATGTGTCAGGGTGGGAGCTCTGTCCACCCCCGACAGACCGGCTACGGAAAACATGGGCACGATGCCCAACAACAGAAGTTGTCCAAAACCGACAGCGGCCGCTGTTGGGCAGGCGGCCTTCTGCCTCTTCGGGGATCTTCTGACCCGGGTCAATCCAGACCCGGGTCAGTCAGGCCTTGCAGAATCCTGCAAGATCCTGCGCCCAAACGCAGGTCAGTGCGAAGGATCCTGCAGGATCATGCACCCAGACCCGGGTCAATGCGACCCTGGCCCTGCAAGATCCTGCAAGATCGGGTGCTCTGGCTGACCCCCGTTTGCACCGACCCCCGTCTCGAGGCTCCCGACCTCGAACGGCCAGCGTCCGCGGCGACACCAACAGCGAGTCCTGCTCAAACTGAAGAAGAGCTGCCGTCGGTCTTTGTGCCCATTTTTCCCGACTTGTGTTTTCTCTCAAGAGAGGGACTCCTGGCGGCACTCGCAGGCGTCTGGGGCGAGTGCTCCCACTGTTCCGGCGAGACACGGGAGACCCCGAAGCCTAAACATGCCAGACGTGCCGCTCGAGCAAGACAAGGGTTACCAGCCTGGAACATCTCCCTATCCCCATGCTGGGCATCGCCTCATCACGACGCCGATCTTAGGGACTCCCTTCTTTTTTGAGGGCGCATCCCTAAGATTGTCATCGCTTTTTGGCGTGTCAATCCCAGGGATAGGGATACACCCTGCGAAATGCTTAATTCATAGTCTCAGAAATTGAATAAAACCCAGAATTTCTATCAAAATCTTGGGATTTACATTGAAACGTTAAGAATAATCGAGACTCTGGCCGAAAACTTAGGTTTCTTAAGCATCGCATAAGGTGTATGTTCGAGGCTGGTAAAAAGGGGCCCAAGGAAAAAAAGTCCCGACATCGGTGTGCCCACTCTTCCGCACCCCTCCCAGCGCCCCGAGGGCCTGCCGCCTCGAGGGGCACCTTTTGGGCCTCCGGCCCTCGACCCGCGCCTCCTCCGCACCTCCTCCGCGCGGCAGGCGCCCGAGGCCGCCGCGGCCGCGCTCCTCCTCCTCCTCCTCCTCCTCCTCCTCCTCCTCCTCCTCCTCCTCCTCCGGCTCGCGGGGCTGCCCGGAAAACTTGTCAGAGCCTCCCGAAGAGGCCCGCCCCTTCTCCCCCCCGACCGGCCACAACTGGGGGAGCTGTGGCCCTCACCCCCCTGGGGGAACCCAGGGAGCCGTCGACGATCTCTCGAGAGGGGCGCCGAACTCGATGGGTCCCCCCAGGGGGGGGAGGACCACAGCCCCCCCCCATTGTGGCTGGCCTGCGCCCCCCCCCCTCGCTCGCCGCCGAGTCTGGATCTCGGCCACGGGGCCCCCTGTCCGGCGCGAGGCCGGCCACCGGCCTCGCGCCAGTCCCTATCGGGTCGGGCGAAAGGGGGGGATAGCAAAGGGGGGGTTTGAGAATCAGCTCACGTAGCTGATTTTCCCGGCGCCTCCCGGCGCCGGGAGCGGCCATGTATCGAGGAATTGGCCCTTCGGCGAGGCCGAAACCAGCTGCATGCAGCAAATTTCGTAACCCCCCCTTTCCCAATCCCCCCCTTTCGCCCGACCCGACCCTAGCCCCAAGATGGGCAAGCCGGAGGCGATGACAATCCTGGGGGTAGGCCCTCGGAAACTGAGGGAAGCCTCAGGATCGGTATCGCGGAAGGGTGATGCCAAACATGGAGATAGGGACCTGTTTGAAGCAGGTTCGGCGGCGAGCGCCGGGGGGGGGCAAGTGAGAAGGAGAAGGCCTTCTCAGAAGCTTCGGAAGTCCCCCGGCCTTCTGAGAAGTTTTCTCCGCGCTCGCCGAGGACAGACAACTCGTCAGAGAAAAGGCGCGAGGGCTTCTGAGAAGTCCCGCCGCCCTCTGAGAAGCAGGGCTGAACCTAAACGGTGTTGTTCGTTTTCGTTTTGTTTTCGTTTTTCCCTCGCTTTGACTTCAACCCGCCTCTCACGCAAAACGAAGTCGAAACGAAAGCGGCCCACGAAATCGCCAAAAACACCGCTCACGTCCAGCCCCTGCTGAGAAGGCCTTCCCCTTCTCACCTCCCCCCCTCGCTCGCCGCCGACTGGCAACATCAAGTCGGGCGCGTCTCCCTACAGGGGGATCTCGTACGAAAAACAGAAAGTAGCCAAACAATGCTCAAACATAGCCCAAACATTATTTTTGAGGAATGAAAAAAACGACCCTACCCTGGGTTATGAATGCGTGGTCTGTAGACCTCCTGGGACCCCCCACGGCCTAAAGCCCCCAGGACGCGGCACGTCACGCAGGGTTTACCCTGTCAGCCCACAGGAGTTTCAGCGCACAGCGCCTCGTAAACCAGGGTAGGGGCGCTTTTTCTGCCCTTGATGTTTCAAGCCTCGCCCCAAGACTATTTTTTGTGGAGCATTCCCGCTGTGGAGGGACAGGCCCGACTTAAAATGGCAACCTCCCCCCCCCCCCCCGGGGGCTGGGCGGCTCGCGCGGGAGGCGGCGGCGGCCCCCGCCGCGCGCCTGCCCCCCTCCCCCCCCCCCCCGCTCCCCGGCCCTCGACGCGGCCTGGAGGGCCGAGCAGGCCACGGGAGCGGCCAGCCGCATCTCTGGAGGGGCCCAGGGACACGCCAATAAACAGACACACACACACACACGCACACGCACACGCACACGCACACGCACACACACACACACA